CGAAGGGCCAGACATCGGAGAGGTCTCTTCTCATGTACCATGGGTAGGGAAAATGTTGGGTGAGGAAGAGGAGCATGACATCTTCGTCGGGGTGGGGTGCTTCCAAATAGATTTTACAAGCCAGGGGTCTCTATGGAAAAAAGGAAAAAATTTTTAATGCCCCGACCAGGAATCGAACCTGGGTCTTTGAGGCCACAACTCAACGTCTTAACCATTAGACAATCGAAGCGCTTACCTCTTTAGGACTTGGTTTAAGGGATGTCATGGTGAGGTTCTCCGAAATTCACGGTTTTACAATGAGGGCAGAGTCTTTGGGTAGGGTGCAACCACCAATTGTGGAGGGCTCTACAGGTTCCGTGATAGAATTGGTCGCAACACGTGGTCAGGAAGTAGTCGTTGATACTGTGATTGGAGGTGAATCCTTCCTTACACCACATGCATTTTGGGTTAGGAAATGACATTGAGTCTGAAAATAGAACAAAAACATTTTTTTATTGGACACTACACTTGTTATTACAGAGTGGGACGTGTGCACGATCCTATTGACCGGCGCCCTCTTTGTTGTCTTCTTCATGATCATAATAAAGAAAAGATTTGACATGTTTGACACGTGACATGGCTTCTTCGTAATGGTTTCCCAGAAAGACGGGTTTGTAACAGGCAGTCTCTCAGGCCATAGATGGCCCCGCAACAGGTTACCCAGACGCACCCTAGTCCCCAGGCTTCTCTCAGTGGTCCCGAAACTGCGTGTACGAATTTGTCGTGGGTCCCTTGTTTACCCAATTCTAGGAGCGGTTGGCGGCAGCATGGTCTGGATTGCTTACAGACATAACAAGAACTGAGTTCCATTTCTAAAATTAAAATAGTTGTTTGTAAGCGTTGAGAGCCCGGTCTACATCGATGACTAAATCATTAATGTCGTCTTCTTCAGCGACCCCCAGCATCTCTGATAGGAATAGTAAGTCTATCTCGTCCAGGGCTACCCCGAGGAAACCTAAAAGTTGTTCTAGGTCCCTGTACAAAGGGGACTCGCGATTCTGTTCTTCTTCCTTTATCCACTCTCGCACCCGCTTTCCCAAGGTAGTCAACTCAGAATTACATCGCTCTAATACTTCCATACTCACTTGGTTTGGTCAGCCACAGCAACGATACTATCCACAGTCTTCTATAGGCGCTCATGCAAGTTTCACTAAAACTCAGAGTGAAAGTGAACGGTCCAACTCGCTTGTTTTATACACCCGCTACAACGGGGTCCAGTCTACGACCGGGAGGGGCGTGGTAGGGGGATACCCCTATCCCCTGGGTCTGTAGGAACACGTGATTTCGGCTTGATCTGTGATTGGCTGGACGGATCTGCATAAAGCGAATCGGCGTCGTCCGCTCTTCACTCTGAGTTTTTGAAACTTGTATTGAGCGCTACCATGGCCTTGAGGGAGAGACATCTACAGAATAATTTCAGACC